GTACCTACGAGTTGTGTTCAGAAAATAACGGGAATTACAAGTATAAAATTAAAATTTAGCAGATTTGAAAAGTCCAATTGTCAAAAATTTATTTTTATTGTGTTGATAAACAAGCCCCTGAAGTACAATACAGTTTTCAGCTATGCATTCATTGTTTAATTTTTCTGTAGCAGCCGCTAAGGTTAGATGTGTTTTTATGAGCTTGATAATTTTTTTTTTTTTAAAAACTCATACTTCGTTGCTTGTTCGTCAATTCCTGGCCAAAAACAATACTGTAACGATGCTCCAACTTTAAAGAGCCATTGTTTTACAAGCATAGATGTCATTAAAAGCACATCGCTGAAAGAGCTAAAGGGTATGCCAAAAATCGACAATTGGAAGAAGCGCTGTCATAAGTGCATAATATCGAATAGGGTCTCTTTTAGAGGCGTTAACATTAATGTAGACAAAAGAATAAATAGTTCTTTCGAAAATTTCCGTTATAAAAATTTTTATCCTGATTTTTATCGGTGGGTTTGTATGACAGCTACACGTATATGATATATTGGTATCAAATCGACACTTCCAACAAATGAACAGCTGCTTCCATTGGAGTGTTACAAACTTCGGGGCAAATTTAATGTACTCTTAGGTGCGTCGTCTGACAGCCACTCTACCTAATGTACTCTTTACTTTAGGAATAAGAAATTGTTATACAAGTTGTATAACTGCTACTTAAGGCAGACTCTCTAAATTCCCCTCCATAATAGTATAAATCGAGATGTTGTTTCACATGTGAAAATTTATATTCGTAGATTTTAGTTTTTGAAAATTATTGCCGCAATTTGCTACAGCACATTTACTTTATTATTACCTACCTACAATAGAGCAGTTTTATATTATGCTTTTATTTTCGCTGGTGCTTCTCGCAGGCAATATTCGCGTGCGTTATTTTTCTAAAATGCAAAAAATGCTGAATGCTAATTTTTCTTTTTTCGCAGCCACTTCTTATATTTATTATTATTTTGTTTTATTCAACTTTTGCTCCACTTAACTGGCGTCTGGCATGAAAAATGCACATGAATCGTGCATTTAAAAGAGATGTTAATAACACAGGCGAACACATAAGAGCAAATACATTAAGAGGCACACATACTCGTACGTGTGTATGGGTGAGTAAATCCCATTTTAAATGTGTCTAAATGGCGGGTTCCCTCGTTATGCCATCAAATGGAAATAACTTCATTTGCAATTGAGGTCTTTTTCAACAACTCAGACGGCGGCAACGACAAATCCCATTAAATAGCAGCAAAAAATTTCTTTTTCTTATGAATTACATATAAATATCGTTTTTATTTTGCGCTTTTTTCGCGCAAATAAAGTTGCGAGTGTGTGTTTGATGTTTGGCGGTGTTCGTGTGGTTGAATACTTATTTAAGTAAAAAACAAAAATACATATACAAACTCTCACACATATACCATACAAGCACGCACACTTACACAGCGCCGTTAAAGACAGATGCGAGCAATCAATGGGTTGGCTGTTAGACGGGCAGACAGGCGGCGCATCTTATCAGCGTATCAAAGCGCGTAAATTGCATAATTCATTGCGTATAATGCATGCTTCATGAGGCTTTGTTGCGCGTCGATATCTCATTTTGTTGATAATGAACACAACGCCCGAGTCTACGTTGCGTATAGGTAACATTTTAGAAATTAATGTTACACCAAGGCGTATGAGTGTTCTAATATTGCCGGCGGATTTTGTTGCTGTTGTCATTTACACAATATTTCGCGTATTCACGTATTTATTAACGTCGCTGTCGTTTAACCATTTCGCTGTGACGCCTTTAATGGCGTTGTTATTATTATTGGCATGTTTCTATATACAAGCATGTTTTAGAGCGTGTGCCTATGGTTGCCGTCGTTGCTTGTATTTGTGTATATTTGCACTTAGCATGTGCGAACATTTTGTTTATGCAATAAACAGTAACGATTTATTCGACAGCTAAACGCATATCATCTGCTTCAAACAACACGCCGTTAACACGATTTTATGGTAATATGTGTTTGTATCGCATTCTTTCGATGAGCAGTGTCTGTCAAGCCATTATAGCGCTTTTATAGATTTAACGACTAACTTGTTGTTATGCTAAAATCAATACGAACGAAATTACGGGCTCTTTGTGATATTTTTTTCATTTAAAAATGGACTTTCTCAAAAATTTTTAAAATAAAATATCAATTTTAGAAAGGCTCACCGAAGCAGAGGTTTATATATGTATAAGAGGATGTCCAGTATTTCCCAAGTTCCTTTCATATTTTGATAATTTAAGCTAAAATTTCACATAGCTTTCTTTATATTTACGTCTACTATTTTTACTTATTTCTGCCTACTAATCAACAAGCAAGGCAACCCTTCGGGACTCTCTTGAATTTTCATACAGTGTGAACAGTTTAACCTTCAAAGACTGTTTGAAGCGGTGAATACGAGAGGTATAGGCGAGACCTTGGGACACCACAAATATAGTACGAACTTTGGGTTAGTGTGGATAGTGGAAATATCGAAATGGAAAACGTCTTCGGATGGTTGGCAGAGGATGTCTAGAGGATAATTACGTTGTAATATTACCTCTGCGAATGCCCCGCTTTCAGGTGGTTGAAGCAGAATTAATTTCATAAATTCCATTTCCCACTGTTCAATTTTTTGAGTAGTTAGTGTGAACAATAATAATATTGGTAATTTTATTATATACAGCGATTTTTTTAATGGTGATCAGACTCACTTGGAAGCAAAACGCGGATAATGATATCCTAAAACCAGATTAGGGTTCTTTTGATCTTCCCTTTCTAGCAACCAACTGGCTGCCAAGTTAAAATAAATTACCTTCATGTCCAAGAGATTTACTGAATGTATTAAGAAAACAACGTTTTCATCAAAATTGAACTTTGAACCAATCGTACTCTACTTTACTTTAAAGTATATATTAGGGTGGAGCGAAAAAAAAAATTGTTTTTTCTTAGCATGGGGGTAAAACCAGTAGATTATAAAAAAAGAAAATTTTTGAACAAGAAAAAACTATTTTTGGTTTAAACTCTTTACATTTATATAAAAATTACCAAATGTGGCAGTTTTTAAATTAAAATTTATTTTAATGCTTAAACAAAGCATGCGACAGCTTAAGACTTTTTTTTAAAACTCTAATAATGACCACACAAATTTTTTTCAAGTTGATAACTTTTAATTGGTCAGAAAGAGGACTCTCCATTGAAAAAATTTTTTTTTTCGCTCCACCCTAGTATGTATTGATAAACATGTTAATGGTATTGCTAAACAAAAGCTAAAATGAGTTATAGCGCATTTGATTTGTATCAACTTTTAATTATACCAATTATAGTGCTAACACGATACACATAACCGCAAACAAAACCATAAAAGCATAAATTAAGCTTTAATTTATGATAACGCATAGGTATAGGCTTTCGCTGTATTTAGGTAAGTACATATGCATATGACCAGTCTTATATCGCGCAGCTGTGAGTATATGCGTTTATTTACTTTCATTAGTCTATCTATCTATCTTATTTCTGTATATTTATATGGCCTTTCCATACGTCTACTCACCAAAATTGTCGCGAGCGCCTTTTTTGCCCGTAAGTGACATTATCGAAATGATATTAGCATGTCTATGCTGTTAGACTCTTGTGATATAATTTCTTTTAATATATTCAAGCGTTTAATTTATATAATGCACAGACGAGCCGCTATATATTATATATGCCACATTAAGTGCAACTTATTACCATATCCTAAAGGTCTCATTTAAAGTAGCTAAGTAATATGTAGATTACACTCGCAAGCTTGAAATAAAATGCTATAAATTCACAACAAATGACAGCTGACGCGGAAATAAAATTAGCTCTGTGTCATGCTTAAGATAAGAATATACGTATATATGTACCTATATGCGATGGGTTACCATTATTTACTTCATATAAGATAACGACATTATTTGAGAAAAGATTATGGAGCTAAATGTGGTGAGGAGAATGAAATAAATATTTTCTTAATATAATCAGCGCATATCACATCAAAAATTAAAATTATAGAATAATCTCTAGAGCTTTTTTTCGAGGCGGATGCAGTTTGGTGTAAAAGTATGGCTACTTATGGTTTAAAAACGCTCGACCTTCAGACCTTCTTCCATTTAATTGCATTTCTTATATAAAAATACTACCTTACAGCATGAACGTCAATAGGCCACAGACCTGTTAAAACCCCTGTGAGAGGCTAGCTTTACTGAGAGCAAAGTGCTCAATGGACTCCTTGCGATCGATCTTGGTCCCAAAGGATTTTGCGACAGCGCAAGAACTTATGGTAGCCCAGCGCTGGCCAAGCTCCCGCGAAGCCTAACTATCCAGTGGAGCTCCGCCTCATTTCCATTCTACTGATAGCGGGGGTAGGACACTTTTTCTAGCCAGCTTGTCAACTGAAGCCAAAACTTACATTACATATTATGTAGAATATCATAGAGCGCATCAAACATCACTTCCTTGAGGCAAACTTCCTCTTAATCGTATATCATGAAATGGACCACCTAGGCCATGTAATTTGAATCCTTTGGATTTCATTCTGCTGAATTACTTTTTATGGAGTAGCTACATTCCTGAATAAATTTGTTTCATCCAAATTTAGTTTCATGTCTAGAGTGATCATTTGAGTTTCGGAACAGATTAAACAAAAGCATAGAGTGTTAGTCATTAAGGTTGTGGATACGTCGTTCATAAAACTAAGAATTTGACCATAATTGTCTCCACGAACACCAGTATTCTACTGTAACTTGACCTTCACTGAATTATCTATACCAGCAAGTAAGTACTGCAAGTGCAGTCTGCAAAGTCGACTCTCATAGATGCATTTTCAACATTTTTAATTACTTCAGATCATCTATAGCTCTGAGAATACAAAATTGCCTGCTAAAATTGCAATAAATCTATTTATAATATGTATTATATACTCACAGAATGTCCAGAGGCAATTTCACCGAACAATCACGCAGCAGTGATGAGTGTTGCCGCTGTTGCTGTTGATTCTGTTGTTGTTCTTGTTGATTTGACTGGTGATTTTCTTGATGATATGCTGAATGCGATGCAGAGTGATGAGAATACTGTTGTTGGTACTGATAATGTTGTTGCTGTTGTTGTTGTTGTTGGTGTTGTTGTTGATGTTGCTGTTGCTGCTCTTGCTGATATTGGAAATGGTAACGTTGTTGTGTACTATGATATTGTTGTTGTGGATGTTGTAACAGATGTTGTTGCTGTTCGCGATATTCATCCGTATCATTATTGTTATTGTTGTTATTTGTCGCGCCACTGCTTGCGCGTCGTTTAGCGGCGGTCATCAGTGGGAGAGAGAGCGGAGCTGAACTTTTGTTAGGGGAGGGAGGCTGTAAATTAACTGTATGAGATTAAGGTAAGCAGCTGTGCTTCTGGTCGATATTAAGAGTAAACGGAGTTGCAGCAAATCAGCCGTGACAGGTGAGAAAGTTTTCGTCGCAAATTGAATTTACTATATAAAGTGGTGGAAGGTGAGGGCTGAAGAAGCAAATAAAATATTTAATTAACTGCACGTGTAATAGCCGTATGGGTGTGGCTCAATTAAAAGTTGTTAAGCTGGAATTTTTTTTTCTTTTTTGAGTACGTGTGTAATTAATAATTAATTTTTGGTTCTTTGCTTGGTAGGCGTGATTTTCACGAATTAAATTTAATATAAATTTGATATTTGTTTGTTGTAGCATAAAGCTTTTAGTTTTTATGTTAGTATTGTAATTATCTCACAATTAGTTTAGCTATCTTTTTTGTAGCTTTGGAGTTTTTTTCTTTCATAAACTGTTTTACCACAGATAAGTTCGGAGTGTTGAAAAAACGCTCTAAATTTTGCGTTTCTTTTTCATACAATGCTATTTTGCACATTATAATGAAGCTTAGTTCTTAGCAGCCGATATCCTCTTAAGCTTTGCTGCTTTCTTAAAATGTGTTTTGCTCCCTTTACTTAAAGCTTTTGCTTAAGGAATGCTTAGCGGTCTTTAACTTCAAGTCATATTTTCGGTTTTTGTTCAGAGTTCGCTTGCAAAATTTTCTAAAGTGCTTTCAGCAATTTTAGAGCTTTTATTTGTATGCTCATGAAGCTTTCACAATTTTTACAACTTTTAGTTACTTAAACACTTTGTACCAGAAGTAATTGCATTTTAAGTGTGGACTATATACAGAAAGCTTTTGATACAGTTTCTAAAACAATTTAAGCTTTTAATCAAGTTCTTTTAAACTTTCATGGACTCTTGAACTGCAGTAATTTTGGCTTAAAGCTTTTAGCTCCGTTTGACTTCAATTTCATTAATTTTTAAATTCAATAAATATTTTCAAACACATTTTGGCAGCTATTTAGCAGCAATTCGAATACTGTCACTCAATTGATTTCTTTTCTAGATGAAACTTGTAGACTGCCAAGATTTTTCAGCAAAAAGTTCACTGAGCTTTCAATTGCATCAAAGCTGCCAATTATTACATTTTTGTTGCTATATTATGACAGCCAACTACTTGTTTTTATAGAATATAATATTGTAAGCATTCAAACAATTATTAATACCGCTAACAGTTTCTAGTTGCGGTTGCTGTTATCGTTGTTGCGGTTATTGTTGCTGCGCGCTTCAGCAATTGAATGGCATCACTTTACACCGGAACTTAAGTGGCCGTTTAATTTCCGTCAACTATTTCCGCTTTGCAGCAAATTGCATTAATGACAGCACATTTCAGCCGCATGCAGACAACAATAGACGATCGCTGAATAGAACAGACACCCACACGCGCCGGCTATCAATGCCAGCAAGAGCTCAACAACACACACACATGCAACACTGTAAACTCACTGACTGACTTCGCTTGTCTAATGAACGGCTAAATAGACACATATGTGTTGTAAGCATGTGTGTGTGTAAGTATGTGTGTGCGTTGTGCGCTGAATGCGCTGAGCGCAATGAAGCACAAGATTTTTGCGCTTTGTCTTTGGCAAAATGTTGTTGTTTGGTTGTTGTGCAGCTTGCAGTAGTTACAATTATTGCTGTTGTTGTTTTATACGCTATTCAAACGACTATTTAGTTGCTGCGCCACTTGACGGCAATCGGGTGAGCAATTTTGCTTAGTACTGCCTTAGCTGTTGTGCCTTAGCGTTTGCTTGCCATGTTAAGTCATGGTACCGGATAATTAGATTTAGCGCGCTTTGCTGTTATTCCTTCAATGCGCCGACATCACTCTATAGACACTGCGGGCTTGTATGAAGTTGCTGTATAAAGCATACACATACATCACTAGCACACCAAAGTAGCGGTGGTTGAGGCGCTGTCAAAGCGTCTGTGTGGAAAATCAACGTAGATTGTTTTATCGCTCGACTAAAGCATCGATGTAATTGTATGTGGCGTCATTGTATAGACATATAACGATTGTTTCCTTATACTGTTGTTTCCTTGCGCCTATTGTTGTTGTAATCCTATTGTTTTAGCGTATATGAGATCTAATAGTTGTTGCGATACACTAACGCTACTTTGTGCTGTGCTGTGGTGCCGTTTACATTAGCTTCAACTGGCTGCCGTTGCCACTCTGCTGTTTTGTTGCTATGAAATTCGCTGCTCTGGCGCTTCTGTGGTCTTTATATCTCCTCTTTGTTGCCGCCTTTGTTAATTATGATACAATTTGACGCTTTATTTGCTATATTTCTTAGTCGATTGTGGCTGCCACGGCTGTTGCTGTTGCTGCTGCGCCTCAAATGCGCTTGGCGACAACACTTGTTGTCACTTCGTTGCTTTTATTGCTGCCGTCGATGTTTTTGTTGTGCTTTGCTTCTTTTTCATTATTACTCATTTTATTATTATTGCAACATTTCCGTTGTCGCGCTCAACATTTACTATATTGCAATTGTGTTACATGCAGTCGCTTCTTACAGCTCCTGCTATTCGTATTAATTTCCTGCACGCCCGCTCTTACCCCTTGCGTCGCTAGTTGTTCGTTTCATTTGCATTTAATTAGAATTCTGTTACTTTTTTTGTCTGGCATTCATCAAGTGCCTTTGTTGGCTGTGTTATCGTTGTAATAGTTGTTGTTGTTGCTATTACTTTATTGCTGTTGTTGCGCATTATTATGCGCTGCAGCAAAGGCATAACTTTTTATTCGCTCGCTTAAACAAACGAATATGCATTTGCCGTTATATTTTCTATGTGGTTGTTTGCTTGTGTGTGTGTATTTGCCTTAACATAAATAGTTGCTGTCGTTGTTGTTGCCTCTGCAATTGTTTGCAATTATTGGTGTTGTTTTTTGTACTTTGTCGAGCAGTAAAAAAAAAAGAAAAACAATAATATTTTCAGTTGAAGTTCCTCATCAAAGTGATGAGAGCATTTAATTTATTTATTCCCTTTTTCACTTTTAAATTTTTTTTGCTGATATGTATGCTGGTTTCCTTTGAAGTTAAATGTTTTTGATTGTAAAAATTATATTATTTCTGTTTTTCTCTTTTCGCTTTTTTATGCTTTTTTTTAGTATTTTAATTCGATTCTATTAACCTATTTTCCGCTTATTGTGGCACTGTTGATATGTTTGGTTGAATTTTTTTGGGTTTTTTGTTCTACTACATACTTTACTTGGTATTGTTTTTTTATCAATCAATCTCGTTTGTGTTGAAGTTGATGTCGTTAGCGTTGAATTTAACTGCAATTAAGAATAATTAAAAATTGCTTTACAAAACATTAATTTTGTTAAAATTTTACTAATACATCAGTGAGCGTCTTTGTAAAAACTGACACAGGAGAGGGCAAAATAGTATAACATAAATATGTCTACAACTTTTTTTAACGGAATAATAACAATAAGAGAGCACAATAAATTCTCAGCTATAAAGAAAGATTTTCTCAAGAGCACCCTTAGTGTGAAGCGAAGGCGAATTTGGCAATTACAGAAGAAAATAAAAAAACGCTATCAAAATTTATACATTATATTTAATTTTTTTAAATTTATTTTTAAGAAAAAAATTAAATAATTTTCAAGTTACACGCGATTAGCGCAGTGAGAGCTAAAGACAATAAAACATCGACTGCTGCAGTGATTCTAGTCTTACCCGTAGTTGAAAAATAATTCTCTAAAAGACAAAAAACTTCAAAAATTTACAAACTGGCAATGTTTTCAAAAGAAATTGAATTTCATCCTATAAATTTGTTGTTTTTGATCTGCCAAAGCTCGATTATTTGAGTTGTTATCTTTATAGGTATAACCAATCGAAATATGGGAAACAATTTTTTTTTTGTAATACATGTGATATAAAAATCGGCACCCTGTAGAAAAGCCTTATACATTTTTTTTGCGAAACTCGTGTTCTGTGCAACAAACTGAAATTTATATATTTACAGTTAGCTCAGCTTCAGTGATGAGGCACATTTTTTCTCCAAACGAGTACGTAAAAATGCAAAATTTCTGTATTTGAAGTGAGACAAATTATGAAGAGACTATTCAGCGTTTGCTGCTTTCAGAAAAGCAAACTCTCTTCTATGACTATTTCATATAGAGAAGATTACATCAATGAATTCAACTCAATATATATACTTCCAACAAGCGAAGTTTTGAAACCGTACAAAACAAACAAACTTATAGTTTCAGAGTTTTATTGGGATTCCTCTTCTTACTGAGCAAAACCACATTCTGTAAAAAAATATCGGCTCTAATAAATTTTCCACAGCCAAAAATTAAATTGTTGGATCATTTGCTAGATTCGTGCTTCGATGTACAAGATGAATATTTTCCATAACAATAAAACTGATCTTAAACATAAACCTTCATTTTAATTGCAAGCGAAATATAAATAATACAAAATAAAAATTTTAAACAAAATTCTTTATTTTTGCATTAAATTTAAGTCGGCGTTTTCTTCAATAAAGTCGATTTTCATAAGCTTCTCTTGAGGCGAACTTTTCACCAGCAAAATTATTCGCCATAGACACGAACCACGTAATCACTTGTTGTAAGTTCCAAACTATAGATGGATCCATAAGAAGCTCGCAGCCAAGCTTCCGGTGCTTCTGCCGAGTGACTATCGATGTGGCACATTGGACAAAACCGGCCGCTTCGGGGCGATTGCTTCCCATTGTTGAGAGTGTAGAATCCAAATAAGAGTTTGACCGTAGGGGGCAGCTCATAATAGATGATTCCCTGCCAATCCCACCAAACTATTAGCAAAATCTGATTATAAAACCTGTCTTAGTCACCGCCAGCTTACCACCATTTGAACACAATCATTTTTGCTTCACGTTGTCATAAGTGACCCACTATCTTCTCCAGTAACCACCTGCATCTGAATTCCCAAAAATTGAGGGAAAGTTTTTGCCTTATAAAAAAATACTAGTACTACCCAGTCGTAATGACAATTGTAGCAATAAGGGTTCGAGCTACTCCATTCGCCTGCTGAAATTCCTTCGTGGTTCTGTGGTGAATATTTAAAAGATCATGATTTTCATATTAGCTGGTTTATTAGCCAATAATATATTATACTATGCTTTGAAATAAAAAGGCTTTCTAATAACCAAAACATTGTGATAAGAAATTCTTGATATGTCATATGTCATGGATGGACAACCTTCGATTCTACGCATGCTAAGAGCCAATTTACACATTCGCAATCATTATAACCGCACTTTACTGAACCCAAAATTTAAACATTAACCCGATAAAATATTTTACAAGTGATTTATTATTTGATTAAAAACATTTCTCTAATCGCAAAACTTGAGTGTGCTTTTGTCAAAAGCATACAGTTACAAATAAATGTTTACGAAATCTTTAAAACTTTGACTTTAATGGACATTAAATTCTGCCCTACATAATATACCTTCCTTTAGGTAGAGCATGCCAGTTTTAGGGAAGAAGATAGGAGAGGTAAATAAAATGGAGCGTTGCAGGTAATTTCATAACGGAACGTGCAAAAATATCGAATAAACTTCTTACTACTAATGCCATTTGAACCGGTAATGCCCACAATCACAAATACTATTACAAATACAAATACAACTACAGTCACAAGTACGGCTGCAACTGCAACTGCAAATTTCCTGCAATGCAACATATTGACTGAGTCCAAATTGCATTTACACCAAGCTGGCATTGCAGCTTGTTTGTCTCACTTTCCTTATTGCTTGTTTCGCAATAATATCTTCCCTTCGCCTTTAACCCATTCGCACAAATAGCCACACAACTGCAACACTCATCGTGTGCTGAATTCAATCTCGTTGCCGCAACGGGCCAAGAGGAAGGTGAAAGGACAACCAAAACCAAAAGTTAGAAAAAAACTAGCAAAAAATGAAGCGTAGGCGTCGCAGACAATGCATTTCCGGCATACATGTGGCATAGTTGTTGGCAAAAGTGGCAGCAGGCACACACTTGCAACACATTCATCTGTGTAAGTGTGCGCTGTGTGTGTGGGTGATACAAAACTTTATGTAACGGCATTTTTGAGCTCAGTAAGGATGTCTTTTTGTGTGGGTGTCGCTGCAGCAGGCATTTGTACTCACAATGCGACATGACCACTTGTGGCATCCATTCATTGGCTGTTGCCATCTTTTTCAATTCGCTTGCTGATTGTAGTAGCTTTGTATCACATTGAAAATTTATTTTTGGTCTTTACCGTACATGTTATCTTTTGTTATCCTAACAGACATAACGCTTTGTAGGCATATCAATTGGAATGTTGATAGACTCTTCAAAGAATTGCTATTGCTACGCGTTTGTGTCGGTTTTTATGAGTGCTGTAATTCTGAAAAACCAATAGCGAATTGTATTTGAAAGTGATTTTATGTCACTTTGATATATGTGTGTTCATTTCTTACAATCTAACATATGAATACTTCTATTGTACTGTAATAGACCTTGTAAATAAAATTGAAGGTTGAATTTAGCTTATCTTTATAAATTAAGAAGGCTAATATAATCTTGTTTAAGCTAAGTTAACGCATATATTCTACTCTTTGAAAAATATTTATTTTTCAATTTCGAAATCAATTCGGTACAGTGGCATGCTTATAAATAATAAATTGACGAAATCGGGCCAAAACTGAACTTTCAGATCGGATGTTTCACTGAGAAACAAATTGTAATGATCTGTCCATATTCATAATATTTTCTAATTGTTGTAAAAACAGTTAAACAATAACTCAATAATTTCCTAACAAGCTTTTCCGCATCAATATTTTATGAACATATGCTTATGTTTACATATTTTTAACATAAAAATCACTTAGTTTCCATTCACAAAGTTCAAAAGCAAGAATAACAAGCTGTAGGCATTAAATTTGCTTGTCAAACGCGACGAAAACAGTCAGCAAAGTTACATCCTTAAAAAGAAACCGAAAGGTAACTATTAAGTCGCCACCAGCACAGACAAAATACGAAACTTTTCTTGTTACACACACTTACATACACAACGTAACGAATATACCTAAATAATTTACATTACTTATGTTCACTCCAACGTTTTTAATCCCCGAACAGGGGATAACAATCAATAGGAAACGTCAGATATCCTATAAAATATATACATAAATAATGAGCATGATGAACTGAGTTAATTTAGCCATGTCCGTCTGTCCGCCTGTCTGTCTGTAGTTTATAAAAACTAGTCCCTCAGTCTTTAAGCTATCGATCTGAAATTGTGCACCAGTCTTTTCCTCACTAAGAAGCTGCTCATTTGTCGGGACGGCCGATATCGAACCACTATAGCATATAGCTGCCATACAAACTGAACAATCAGTATCAAGTGCTTGTATGAGAAACTTTTTTATTTGACGAGGTATCTTCACAAAATTAGGCTTGAATTCTTGTCTAGGGCAGCAATGATCAGATCATATCACTATATCATATAGCTGCCATACAAATTGAACTAGAAAAATCGGAATCAAGTTCTTGTAAAAAACATTTATATTTGTGTAGGGCGAAGCTATAATATTCGGTGCAACCGAAATTACCGTTTTTTCTTGTTATTAGCAAAGTTTTCAAATCAAAAACTAAACGCATACATGTCGAGTGAAGGTTAAGAAAGAGCATAGTTTACCGTTACACGTCTACCTTGTTGTGGGTGTACACTATTAACGGTCCCTTAAACAAAAGTAGTTACCAAGCAGATAGCGGTACAGACAATGTATGATAGCATGACACTTAACGTAATCACTTAAGTGCACGCAACTACGTTAACAACAGCACACTATATGACCCCAGCGTACACACAAGCGCTTAACCGCGCTATCACGGCAACCACTTCACTCATACTTTCATGTGGTTAGGCTTCATGCAGCTTGAGTTGAATATGATGATGAGGATGACGATGAGCACAAGCACATCGAAGCGTTGCGTATACGCCGCGTACGACCTTCAGGGAGACGCGACACAACAATGACACATATATATACAGTTAGTTTGGCAAATAAATCGTCACTATAGACACAAACCATGTTTACCACGCACACACACTTCAACAAGCACTCACTATAAACACACGTGAGCGTGCGCATGTTTCGAACTCATCAATAACAACTCAACTAGAAATTCAGCGTTGCTCGTTGTTTGTCATGCTTTGAGGCACAACACCCATTTATCTGTCTCGCTGCCCTTTGCTGTCTACCGATCTGTGCGCTTATGTGTGTGTGTATTCTTAATTATTTACGTCTGTTCTG